GGGGGGGCGGTGAGTGGCGGCGAAAGGGGCCGGGCCCGCTCTGGCATGGGACCATCTGCACTGCCCAGCAGCTCCTGCTTCCTGCAAAATAGAGATGTGTCACCGTCCATGTCACCTTCCCACTCTAGGAACGGCCACGGGCTGCTGCTGCAGCGCAGGGAGTGCTAAAAAGCAGGATGTGCGCCAAGGTGAAAGAGGACGTGAGAAGCGAGGGGTCACGACGGCTGCCTGGCGGCCCCACTGCCAGATCCCCACGGCGAGGGGTGCACGAAGCCCTCAAGGGCCGCGTTGCCGGGGCCGAAACACCCGGCTGCTCCGGCAGCGACGCGGTGCCCAGGGCAGCGCGTGGGATGCGGGCGCCAGGCGATGCTCGAGGGTGGGACAAGCAGGGGTGACGGCGTCGCTGCGCTGCGGCAGCGCCAGGGGCTCCCCGGGCTGCTTCCAGGATGTGTCCCTGGAAACCCAGGACGGCGGCAGCGCCAGAGAAGGGCCAGCGGTTGCTCCCTGCTGTAGCTAATTGCTTTGGCTAATGAAGCTCCGGTTGCTGGTGGACTTTGACCCCACCTGCCGGAGCGCGTGCAGCCGCAGCGGCGCTGGGGACAGCGCTACCTTCCTGGAGCAGCACGTGCCATTCCCGCTCCCCCCGCGCGGCCCGGCTGCTCGCTTTGCGGCACAGGGAGGTGAGCGCGGGGCCCTCCTGATGGATTTCACTATTTGCCCTGGCAGCCTGCGGGAGCGCGGCTCACCCGGAGCAAAGCCCTGGCTCCATGCTGCTTCCCTTCACCTCCAGGCTGCAGCTCCATCGCACGGAGCTGTGCAGCCACCTCACAGGCACAAAATGCATCAGACTTTAATGTGCAGATTAAAGTTATGGGGACATGCACAAATAATTCGATCTGCTCCGGTGGGTCTGGGGTTTGTATCAGGTTGCCATAGCATCATCTCCCAAGTGTTATAAAACCACCCGCACAGCAGCGCATCTCTGTCATGTGCAGGTCCCTCGCTCGGGCCGAGCTCAGGCATCAGGGCACCATTGTGTCTCGTCCCCAGTGGGCATCACCCCACGGCTCCTCCTTGTTCGGCCCTGTGCACACCCAGCACCAGCATCTCGTGTATTCACGGCACCGGCTCTGCGGGCAACACGGAGTGAGTGCAGGTAGCAGCACCCAGACACATCCCGGTAAGGCGGAGAAGGGAAAGTCACCGGAAAGGACAGACAGCAGCATCTCTGGGCTGGGATTCTTGCAGGGATCTCGGTACTTGCCAGCATTGCACCTGCCCTTGCACAGCCCCACTCCTGTCGCGCTCACCGGGAGGAAGCAGAGCCCTGCACGGAGCAAGGTGACATCTGAGTGCAAAAGACTCGCTGTGCCGGAGCGAGCGCTACAAGGTGAGCGCGGCACAGGGCAGCACGGCCACCGGCACGGCGCACGGGAGCTGCAGGTCACAGCCACTCGCCCAGAACGACGGCTGCAAGCTGGAACCTGGATTTTCCCCCATGCATGGTCTCCTTAAGAGAGGAAGGCTTGATAAAAATCTATTTCTGCTTTTTTTGTGTTTCATTTACCAACTTTGCTTTCCACCCTCCTTTGCGGAGAAGGAAAGCTGTGCTCCCCTCAGCCTTCAGATGGAGCAACCAGGGTCCCATATGCTTCTTTTCCAGTTGCATGCATCAAGGAGAAGCACAACCCAAGGACTAACCCAGGGACCGTGGCAGCCGCTTCTGAGTTCAGCCTGCAAAGCGGGCAGAGCTGCAGCTAACCCCACGGGTCCGTGTCCCAACGGGTGCAGGAGCAACACCACGGCAGAGGCCGCGCTCCCCTCGAGCACCGAAACCAGGGGCAGAGGGAGGCCTCAGGCTGCTCCAGAGCAAACCCAAATCCTGGTCCCACCAGGACTGACAGGACTTTTGAAGTCGTTTCCAGGAAGTGCAAAGACTTTGCTCCTGATGCTCGCCTGAAAGGCTGGTGTTTCTCCAGCAAGCAAGCAGAGGCGCAAGGTCTGTGGCATGGAGGGGGTTTGGGGGAGGCTTCACAAGAAAGGTCCAAGGTACCAACTTTCCCTTCATTGCCTTTTTTTTTTTTTTAATAGAAGCACAATTAAATAAGAAAAAGTGGAAATAACTGGTAAGAACCCCCTGAAGCTGCAGCAACCAAACCGCTTTCACACTGGATAGGAGGTATGCACACCACCGACATTTGGGTGCATATTTCTTACTATTTTTAACAGCAAAGTTGCCAGAGCATCACACTCCCAGTGGAAAGGGAACTCGCTGACCGAGAACGCGCAAAATAAATCAGAGCAGTGCAAATCTCTGAAGCAAATGGAAACTCACAGTAATAAGCAGGAGGGGAAAAAAATCAGGAGCTGCACACAACAGATGCCAGCTAGCACAATATTGCAAACAGGCTATTTCCTCCAAACACGGAGTTGAACATGAAGTACAGTCCGCAGCTTAGTCAATGAAAGCTGAAACCATTTGTCAGCTGTTCCCAGCGCAGAGACAAAGCTGTCGGCCGTGTCCAGGCCGTTCTGAGCACCGCAACCCGGGGGGAAGCGCTCTCTGGGTGCCCGTGTCGGGCGCAGAGCTGGGGTGGCTCCGCGGATGCAGCCAGGGCAGGGGTGCGCAGCAAGGCAGCGCTCCGAGCATGTCGCACGCGTCCCCTCGCCCCATGCTTGGCTTTACAGAGCATCACCTGCCTGCCAGCAGCAGAGCCCTCCAAGGGCAGGAGGGCAACAGGAGCCACCGCCACTGCTGGCCCCTCACTCGCCCCGGACACCGCTCCAGCCATCACTGGCACGAAAGGCACCGAGCAGGTTTTAGAAAGAGCCCAGAACGAGTCAAGCAGAAGGAGAGCAGAGCCGGGTTACCTTTTCTCCTTGCGCTGCCGGCGGGAGCGGTGCAGCAGCCCGAGGAGCAGCACGGCGGCGCGGATGCCGGCGCGGCGGGAGCGCAGCGCAGCGCC